TTTTCTTTCGGACCAATCGAAAAGCCAAATATGCTTGAAGACTCCATGGGTACCAATATTTGGTAGAAAAAAGCTAAAAAGTTACGTCTAAGTGGTTGTACTAACCTGTTTTTGTCGCCTTCCGGTGCGACGGCGGCCATCTTGATGTTTGTTTACATAGCGCRCGTTTGCCATCCAAGAAGTCACGTGATTTCTTAGTGCAAGTCGCCTATTAGCAAGCCCAGTGACAGTATAGTTGCACTGTAAGACATAACACTAAAAATAGCCTCCTTTGAAACCAGCTTCATTTTCAGCATGCAATACAGTACAGCAATCACTTGCACTGCAAAATGATGAACTGACTCAAAGGGAGATATAACACTCAAATTTTTGTAACAGTGTTCAGTGTTCAGCATAACATTTCAGAAATGATTTGCCTTGATTAAGTGAACTTCTTCTTAGTTGCTGTGAACCTTTCCATATACTGCAGTTTAAGTGAAAAAAGCACAATTATAAGAAACATGGACAATATTAACAACAACGAAACTATACATGTACATTTGATAAAACGTTAAAAAACATTCACATTTTTCTTAACTTATATTTTCTCATTCAAAGAACATGAAAAGTAAAAGTAGAACTCTTACCATTACAGGGCTTCTCAATTGCATACATGAAATGGTACATTTAGTGGATTTAGTGGACGCCAATCAAGACAAGTTTCCATGACATTCCATTTGCACATGCTCATAAAAACTTTATGTTTTCTGACAAATGTTAATGAAACAGTTTGATTAATGTCCACCAACCCTCCTGATTTTGACACTACAGAAAATTGTATGATTTCTTGCCTGTGATTGAGAAACACTGCAATGGTTTTCAAGATTTCTTGATAAGAAATGTTAGAAAAACACCATGGTTTGCCAAATCACATGCATGAATGTTTTTCTTTTCTGTGTTAGCTCTCTCAAACCACTCACCTGATCATATCCCTCCTTTTCACGAAGCTCCTTCTTAGTAAACAAATTACCATCTAGTGCAAGCAGGGATAGTCTTGACTCCTTCAGCAAGGTTTCTTTGACTGCATCTAGAGGGAGGCAATTCTCCTCAAGTCTCAAAACTTTCATCCGAGGACAAGCAGCCAAGGAATGAGGTAAATAAGAAATTTGGTTGGCATTTAAATTCAATTCCATTGCTTGCAATTCTCCAATATTATCAGGGATCAATTTCAGTTTATTATCTGACAGATCAATGAAGTCAATGTGCCTCAAGCTGCAAATCTCATCTGGAAAAGTTGATATCTGATTTGAAGACATTTCAAGTTTCTTTAGATTGTGCAATCCAGTGAAGACTCCAGCTGGTAACAATTTGATGGAGCATTTGTTTGCAGCAAATGTTTCAAGTTTCTTTAATTTATTTATTTCTTTTGGGAGTGTTTCTGAAACAAAAAAAATCAAATGACTAAAATAATAAATGTGCCCATGTGCTTTCCTTTGATAAGGGAAGGGCTGAAGGTCGATTTGTCATAAACTTTTAAAAAATGGTTGTAGCCCTCCCTATTTCCTTAGCCCTCAGTAAGAAATTCATGGCAATTCTATTAAATCAACAAGGAAACAGTTCTCACCAAAATAAAAAGGTTTCACTCTTTGCAAAAGTTCAAATTTTAACTGATGACCTATCCCTCTGAGGCCCCTGCCCTCCCCTTCAATAGAAATAAAAATCCACTAACATTATCCGATCAATTATTACAAAAGTACAGGTAAACTATAACTGAAAAACAATGGTGACTGGAAAATACAAACCAAACTAACCAAATCGATTTGAAGATAATGTTAAGTTTTTGAGACCAGTAAGTTCACCAATCTCTGGCGGCAAAGATTTGAATTTGTTTCCTGAGAGATCCAGAGTTCTCAGAGAGTCACCAAGTTTAAAAAGCTGAGGTGGAACCTGAGAAAATAAAGGTAATTCACTGGGGGTTAGCATTATTCAAATAATTTAGAGTAAGCATGGATGGGATGGGCTGTTGTTGTTGTTAAGGATTGCACATGAGAACAAATAAATATGAACCAAAATAAATTGGAAAATTGAAGAGTATATGCATATCATCAGGGATCGGTTGCATTACATGTAAGGATGGATATAGTGGATAAATATATAAATTTGGATAACAGGATTGACTTATCCACTGGATAAGGATCGTGCTATCCACCCTTCGTACAACCAGACCCATGACAAAAACCACTATCCACAGGAGCACAGGAGTGGGTGTCGACACCATATGAGTGTGTGTCCATAGCTGGGCTTATAACTGCCTTTTGTATAAACATTTATGTTTTATATATTTATACATAAATTATTTTGCATATAAATATTGTTATTGCATTGTTCTTTTTTTAGCGACAATAAGCTCGTTTATATCGACAATATAAGCTTATTTAGGAAAAAGTCTTATTCAGCATTTCTTATTTCCACCTTATCTGCGATCCTTGTGTGTTTTTTTTCTGGCAACTAATAATATATCAATCGTTTTTTTCAACCTTTATTTTTTCAACCTTTAATTGATTTTTTATGTGATAGGCCCGAATTGAATTATCTTTTACTAAATTTAAATGCATATGAAGCCCCAAGCAAGCTACGAACTTTCAAAATATATCGCAGAGGGTGTCAGCACAGATGGCGAAGTAAAATAAATTATTCGAGCTACGCATTTTCAAATTAGAAAACTCGGTCATAAAACCTGTAGAAAATATATTTCCTTAAGATAATTATTACTTTTCATTTGTCCTTCCAAGCTCGTTTTCTAAGATCAAAAACAAAAACGAAAGAAAAAAATGGCACTCACCTCGGATAAGTTTTTCCCCGCCAGTGAACACACTCCTGTTTTTCGTGCATTGTCGATATGCTGAGAGATATTGCTCCCCATTTTAGGCTTCTTATGAACCAACTCTTTAACAGGAACCCTACATCAAGCGAATCGGGACTAGAGTAATCTAAAGAGAACAGTAAAACGGCCAAAAGCTAACCACTTTTATTTTGCTTGACTTTCAGCTGAAGACACCTGAAAGAACAACATTACCCAGGACCCCTCTACCACTCAAACCCAGGAAACCCAACATACTTTATGACAAAATGGCGTCCAAGAGGTATGTCTTGACTTGCTCTCCAGGTTCGTTACAGTTTAATATAAAATATTTTAAAAATTAAGCACTTATTGATAATCTAAATAAAATTAAAGTAACAGGCGGACCAAACAATTAATACTTCTTGCAAAGTTCTTCTATCACAGGTTTTCCAGCCTCTGCTTCTGTTGTACTGTGACTGAAAACGACTCATTGCATAACAGCCCTGGTCATGATTGTCTGTCATCCCTGGTCATGATTGTCTGTCATCCCTGGTCATGATTGTCTGTCATCCCTGTGTTGTACATGTACGTGATGATTGTACATCTGTGTTGTACATGTACGTGATGA